ATGCGTGGCGTGGGGAATCTGGGAGGTTGTAAGTCCACAGATCTTAAAGTTGCCAAGTTTGAGGAACCCTGCCTTAAACTGTACACAAGCTATTGTAAAAATAATTTGAGACAGGGAAGAACTCAATAGGCTGCCCAAAACTCTGGGAGAAACAGTGGAATGAGGATAAACAACAAGACAGAGGCCTATAAAACCTTAGACTATCATTCAGCTACTCTGGATACCTCAGAATCTGAATCAGCTTCAAATAACCCCTGACTTGGCTCTCCAAATGTCTCTTTTTTAAAAAAAAGAATTCAGTCTACCATTCCCCAATCCTTATTTGTTTCTTCTGTGTTCAACAGCACATGCAGAAAATACTTCTTCCTTACCTCCTCTTTTGCTAATTCTAGCTGCTCCTCCAAGAGCTCATTGCGTTCAGACAAGCTCCGGTTTTGCTTGAGTAATGACTGCCCAATACGGGCTGCTAACTCCAGATCATGCTCCTTCTGTGAGGACAGGGAAGCAGAGATTCACATGGCAGGTTTCCATCTCATCACACATACTACCTGCTTTGGTTTCTACCATAATCACCATCTCAACAACATGGATCCTTCAATGATTGCCATTCCGTAATTGGTTTCTTCTCCTCTTTGTGTCTTCCACATCCACCCTAAACCAAGCCCCTCCTTGTGGAATTTTTCCTGCCCATTCCATAATCAACAGCCACAAGGATCAGCTGTTAAGAAAGCCCAAAACAGCCTTGAGTTTGGTGCCACCTCTAGCATGCTGCACAATGTTTTGACTCAAGATTCTGAAAGAACAACTGGTGAAAGATACCTCTTCCAGCAGGGTGGTAACTGCATCTATATCATGGTATGTCTTGGTGATCCTGCCAACTCGCTCAGAGCAAAGTACTATGGAAAAACAAAGAGAAAAAGAGTTGAATAAATATTCCATTGATATGAAGCAAATTGCAACTGTGTCATGTACATATAAGAACATTGTATTCATCCGCATTGTATACAGTAAATTAATCAACTGGGATTTCAATAGGCGCTTAGCATATTTTATATCTATATCATAATAGGTAAATATTTGTTTAAAAACAGTACTAAAGAAAACAAAAAAAAATAGAGATTCTTAAAATGCTAAGTTCAACGCCCGCTGCAGCTCAGCGTTTATTTTCAAACTGTGGTCTGGAAAGCCACAGGGTTCCACAAGAAACTAAGGGGAAAATAATCACGGCCAATTTTCTATCACTAGAGCTTTGCCTCTTGATCATATTTAACTAACAGGTTCCAAGCTCTGAAAAAGTGCGAAAAAGTCTGCTTTAGCTCTGTGGTCGCATGGGTCAATTTAGACATCACATTAAATCCTAATGTGGTTTGTTGGTCTGGCTCCCTTTGCTGCATGAAACCAGCCACTGTAATTTGTTAAACCATGGATTATGGCTTAGTGTGTTATGTTAACGTAGCCAATTATGTTTCATTGAAAAAATACAATGAGTACAATGCTGAACCCAGGATGACCCACACTAAATGGACTTGAACCCAGATTTTACAGATGAGAAATTCTGAGGGGCTTTCAACATAACTTGTAAAATTGTGTTTGCATCTTTGCAGTGCCATCTAAGTAGAACATTAATTCAATTCAACCATTAGTACTTGGCATCCAATATTAACAATATTTTAACAGCTTAAGAAAATATTCCATGGAGTTTCTAGTGCTAGGTAAAAAAAAGTTTACTGTGAGACTCACTGAATTTAATTTAATTTAATTAATTAAATTTAATTCCTGGCAAAGATAAATTTTGCTTTATTCTGCTGAGCAAGCATTTCAGACCGAGCAAAAGACACCTTGCCTCAAGCTGGAAAAGAAGGAAAGGAAAAACACAACCAGAGTAAGACAGAATTGAGAAAGACATTGGGGGGAGGGCGGGACAGAAAGCTACGCCATGCCATCATCCTTGTCCCATTTATCCTCCAAGGACAGATGTCAGGGTCAATTAAATGTTCATAATTTATCTCTCCCCCCCCCCTCCCCCAGCAGGGTGTCCAAAGCTCCTTAACTCAGAAACAGATTTGGCTCTTTGTAATTTGGCTCTTTGTAAACAAGGTAATTTAATGAGGTACAGGCACAATCAACCAACATTTCAACATTATCAAAAGCAACAGCTACCACCCTGATGGTTTCTAAAATGCTGAAGGAGCCTAACACCCATATCACAACTTTCCAAATTCAACCCAATTTTTAAAATAATATTCAGTTTATAGCTAGTTGAAATCTCAGCACGAATTCTCATTCATAAACTAGACCTTCTGAAAGGTCCTACATATGGAAAGATATATACATTTTAGTCATTTTTATTAGTTTTATATATAAACTTTATTTGGAAGCTAGCAATATTAGGAAGCTTTTATAAATTCACACTAAGCCATAGTGACAATTTGATATATGAGTCCACCCCAAGAAAGAAATATTTTCAGCCTCAATCCACAATTTGAAAACATGGTTTGCAAATCCTGTCTCCTTGTAAAATGGCTTATCATTTTATATATAGTTCCAAACCGAAAATACTGATATGCTTTTGCATTCTCCATATTTCTTCCAGATATTGGCAGAAGAAATAGAGAAAACAAACCAAGAATTGGCAGAACAAGCCATAGTTACTTTGCTGATTTGCAAATCTATCTCTGACTTGTGGTAAGCACAACTTAAGAATCAGACTTTTGGTCCACCTCACTTAATATTAATGGCATAGATTGGCAAGATTTCTCCAAACAGAAGTCTTTCCCAGCAATAACTGGAGATGTTATGGATTGAACATAAGCAACAATCTAAGAATCTCTAACTTTTCAGTTTACTTCAGCTTTTTTTTAAAGCAATAAACAACAACCACTGCCACCAGACTAGGCTGTAAAAGTTTGTCTAATTCTCCAATTTTTTCAAGTAGAATTTGCTAAGACTGTCATGTGGCCTTTTACCCTTTCAAGTGTTCCACTGAGATTCTGGAAAAAAATTATCTGAAACCTCTTTTCAGTTTTCACATAGAACACACTACAGCTGGGGAATATCACAGAGCCAAAACTCATGGGATTTAGCTATTACCCTAAATAAGATCTCCCTTTCCCATAGCCAAAGCTAGGGCTGGTTAATAGATTAGCAAGGATTGCTTATTATCTGCAGACCTAATTCTACCTCTTAAAGGCTAAATAAGCCTGTTATGGCACAGCACTGGGTCACATAAGACATGGCCTTACCAGAACTCAGTGTCCCCATACAGTCTAAACCAGTGTTTCTCAACCTCAACAGCTATAAGATGTATGGGCTTCAGTTCCCAGAACTCCCCCAACCATAGTCTCCCAGCCATGGAATTCCCCCATTCTGGCTAGGGGAATTCTGGGAGTTGATGTCCACACATCTTAAAGTTGCTAAAGTTGAGAAACACTGGTCTGCACTGCTAGAGATGGCCTGTGAAGACTCCCTTCCCTGTGAGAATTGTATGGAGGGTGGGCTGAGTAGCAAACCTTACTCATTGTAGCTCCCATGCTCTGAGACTCCCTTCCTTCTGGAGGCAATTTCTGTCCTTTCTCTCCTTGCATTCTGCAAGGCAGTTAAAACTGTAGTATTCCAATGTTCATTCAGCTCACTTGTAGGCATTCATCCTGGATGGCATTGCACTGTTGTTCGTATTTATTATTGTTTCCATTTTGCTTTGCTGTTCACTGCCCAGATGCTTAATTGATAGGGGCAGTTTACAAATACAGCAAAATAAAAAATTCCCATCACTACTTATCTGATGAGTAGTAAGTAGATTAATAGATCAATTATGACATTAAATCTTATTATGTGGTTCCTGGAGGTGAATGTTATGCAATGCAGAGCCAAGTCACAGCAAAGTGGTTATGATTCCCAGTCCTAGAGGTCAACAGAACATCCTGTCCTATTCCATCCACTTGCAGTTCTAACAAGCCACCTAATCCTTCTTCCCTTTCTGCTTGTGTGCTGACTGGCACAACCCTGTTATACAGAGACACCGTGACAGTCCTCCAGCTTGCATGTCAATAGACCTCCCCCTCGCTCCATAGGGGATGTATATGGCTAGTGAGCATCCAACTGAACCATAATTGGAAATAATTAGAGCATGAATGTTTTCCAGCAAAGCATGGATGAACAAAGCAGCTATGCAAGTTTTAGAAGCCATCTTTGCCCGGCTATTCCATGCAGAGCATCTGTCCAATATGGGTAGCCCTCCTATTGTCCTTTTTGTTTCTGCCCCAAAAGTTCAGAAAGGGGGTGGCAGTTCAATCTTTTCCAATTCAGACAAGGCCAACAAGTTCAGTCTGGAAATAAAAATAAGGGGTGGGGGGTGGGGGAAATTGCTGGTTTGTTTAAACTAATGTTTCTGTCTGAATGTCTCTCAGGTTAATAACTCTATACAGAATGTTATCTTTCTATACCATCCAGTAACTGGGAATAAGGTTGAATAAATACAGTACTATGGACAGGAACTGCACTGAACTCAGTGAAAATGCTACAGCAAAGGTCTATGGAAATATGCTTTTAATTCCTTACTTTGCTGCTCTCATTCTCATGGAAGAAGATAGTTTGCACACTGTAACTATATGCTGCTCATTTTACATAATTCCAGATCATGCTCTTTCATTAACAAGGTAAGCAGATAATTTATTATGGCCTTCCTCAATCTGGACACCTCCAAAGTGTGTGGATCAACTTCCCAGAATTCCCCAGCCAGCTGGTATATTGCTGAGAATTCTGGGAGTAGGATACCCAAGCTATGGGAAGGCTAACTTATTATATGCCAGCCTTCCCCAACCAAGTGCCCTTCATGTTGGAAACTCTTAGAATTCCCAGCCGACATGATAAATCTCACCACATCCCCAGGTTGGGGAAGGCTGCTATAGATCATCCTCAGGATTCTTACCTGTTATATGTGAATTGAAGAGGCATGACCTCACAAGGCTCTTGAAAGAAGTAGCTATGTAAAAGACAAACACTTGCCATTCTTTAAAATGCCATTTAAAGAAATAATTAGCAAGGAACATCATTTTACTAAATGTTCCACCAAGGCCTGGGCAATGATGCCTCTGGGAGACATGTAGATTTAGTAGAAAACCTTCAGTCTGTAAAATGAAGTCATGTCTCAGGACAGAATTAGGCACATATAATTCCTCAAGACTACATCGAAAAAGCCATACCCAAGAATAGACAATTCCATATATTTCACACAAACCATATAACATTCAGTATATGTAATGGTATGTGGGAATGACCTTGAGAGACAGGAGGAAGAACCACAAAGTAGGCAGTCAGATGAGGCAGAGGCAGTTGAGCCCGCAGAAGAAATGGGG